GGAGGGGAAGACCCTCTATGAGATGAATTGATTCGGTGACTGGGGTAATCGGGATGGGTGTGTCAGAGGCGATGCGGTTGGCACAGGATAGAGCAGGGTTTAGGGCTGTTGTGCATAGGGTCGCTATGAGTCGGAAACGACTCGACGGCACATAACAGCAACAACAACAAACTGTTTTGAGAGTCACTTCCTTGCAAGCAAGTTCCATTTAAGGTTTGAGGTTATGTCTTGATTATTAGAGCATTTTCTGGACTGGTTGGACTCTGAGGTAACCGAATCATCCTAAAGTGACTGAAAAATTTAGAGAGAAATCTGATACCTATTAGAAGGTCCCTTTTGCTAGCACCGTAGCTTGATGGTCCAGCCGCCACCGCTCTTAACTCTGACGAGGAACCTACAAATCTCCCAGCAGCTCTAGAAATAAGTCCGTGGAAAGGTGTAAGTACAAATGTATGTCCTTTAACTGTGAAAGGGATACAATCTCATTTTTACGGTGAATTAAGCAAAAAAATAATTAGCATTTCAAATCCTAATGCTTTCAGAGGCTTAAACTAATGACACATAGGTTATCATGAGTAAAATCTGGGAATGTTTTGTTGTTGTTATGTGCCATCTAGTCACTCGCGACTCATAGCGACCCTGTGTACAACAGCCCTAAACCCTCTCTGTCCTGTGCCAATCACACTGCCTCTGACACACCCACCCCAATAACCCCAGTCACTGAATCAATCCATCTCATAGAGGGTCTTCCCCTCCACTGTCCCTCCACCCTCCCAAGCATGATGTCCCTCTCCAAGGACTGGTCCCTTCTTGCAACATGTCCAAAGTACTGTAGAAAGAATTAACTGGTGTATAAATGACAGGCACCTGTAAGGAGTTAACCAACCAATGACTAACCAACCAGTGCGACAGTAATTTAGACAAAAGCTAAAAGTTACAGACCTCTCAGTGAGCCCACGTTACTACGAGGGTGGACTTGCAGAGCCACGAGTCAGAATCTTGTCATTTAAAGTCCTCTCTTGTGGCTAAAGAATGAACCCTCATTCACTGTTGGTGGAAGTGTAAAATGGTGCAACCACTGTGGAAGGCTGTATGGCGTTTTCTCAAAAAGTTGCAAATAGAAATACTGTTTGACCCAGCAATTCCAGCTACTGGGAATATACCCCAAAGAAATCATAACCGCCGCCCAAGCAGATATATGCACACCCATGTTTATTGCAGCTTTGTTCACAGTAGCAAAGAGTTGGAAACAACCTAAGTGTCCATCAACAAACGAATGGCTAGAGAAGCTGTGGTATGTTCACACAATGGAATACTGTGCTGCCTTGAAAACAAGGAACTCATGAAATATTACACAAAATGGGTGACCCTGGAGGACTTCATGTTGAGTGAAATATCTGTCACAAAAGGACAAATACTGCATAGTGCCACTGTTGTAAAACAGGACTGACATCAGGGTTGGGGGAAGACTGAGAAAGGGGATAAATAATGTATACTGCATTCAAACATATGAGAGAGAGAACTGTTTAAAAGGGATATGTGATTAGGTATTATTGTCGTGACAGGAGTCCGGAACGAAGGCTGCATAGTGGAGTGGACTTGGGGAGAAGGCTTGTATAACACTGAAAGAATTTTTCAAAGAGAAGAGCGAATTGGGGGAGGGAGGAGTGGGCAGGGAGGAAAAGTGCAACAATGAATGAATGGAAATTCAAAGTCTCTGTAAATTTTCATTAAAATTAATAATAATAAAAACAAGGGTAAAAAAAGAATATGAAAGCACGGAGGGGCTGATAAGTAACCCCCCAGGGCTCAGTCATACAACTGATGAAATTGCCGCCTCCTGCCTGGGCTCATTGTTTAAAAAGAAGAAATTGCCTGTTTTCAGGTCAGATCCCACCAGGATGAATTCCACTGAGGATGCTCTTTGATGTAGGTTTTTTCCTAACTTTTTTACATTTCTTACTGTGATTTGTGTGAAAGCGTGTGCAGAGCATGTATTTTTTCCCATCAGTCTGTCATGAACATTTTGCTCCATAACATTGTTGACAATACAAATAGGATCTGATTACCCATTCATTCCATCTGTCTTCCCCTTCACCTGTTCCAATAAAGTGCTCATCATTTCACCATTAATTTTCTATTCTTGCCCACACCCCACCACCCGTAACCATATTAGCCTGATTGTCTCTGGGTGTAAACTTCTCTCTTGTATTTTAACTGTCTAGTGTTTGTCCTTTGTGACTGAGTTATTTCACTCAGCGTCATGTTCCCCTAGACTCCCTGTCTGATGTTCCCTGTCGTGTCATGTTGAGTGTTACCAGTTTGTTGTTGTTCAGTGCAGCCTAATATTGGATTCGGGAGACCCCACCCCTGAGGTCAGCAAGATCTCTGCAGTCAGCAAGATACACAGCTCATGTTTGGATGAGTTCGCGGCAAGCCATGCTCCACACTCAAATAGGAAGAGAAAACACTGTGTGGTGGACTTTGGAGTTGTTTGTTGCTGTGTACTGTTAGGCTGACCCTCCAGCAGATCTTCCGAGGCTGTAAATCACATAGGAGGAGAATGCCCATCTCTCTGCCTTTGGGATTGTTGCACATCTGCTGATTACCAGGCCATCAGAGTTCCCCAGACTTTAGTGGGTTCTCAGAGATGATCTAACTCCGCTTCCTCAACTAGTCAAGACAGGCATGCAAGTCCAGACAGATCGAATAAACTGTCCAAGCATTTCAAAGAGTTAGCAACCTTGGCAAGATGCATTTGTACATTTGTCTTCCATTCTACTACATTGCGAAGTTAAAATCAGACCTGTGTGTATGTTACCATGTTGGTATTTCATGAATGTTGTTGATTGCCATCAAGTTGAGCACAACTCATGACGACCCTATGAACAAAACACCTGAAGCCTTTTCTACACCTGCCGTCATTTCTCAAAGTTCATAGCTTCCAGAGGCATTTTGTTTAAGAAGCGGATGCCACTCCTGCTTCCAAATTTCATGACTATACAGATAACATAAGTGTATGCAAGTGAGATATTACCACTTGATATTAGAACCAATGGTTGTAGTTAAGCTTGTGTAGAGACCAAATTTGTAACTTGATGGATTACACAATGGGCTCTAGTGTG